TACCCTAGATTCTTTTGACAGTGGAGGATACATTGAAGAAGATTTTGGAGAACCAACAGACCATCATGAACACATTGGTAGCACATGGAGCAGTAATTGAGGAGCTCGGGAAACAAGTGAAGTAGATGAAGAAATCCCAGGCATCCAAGAAATCAGTATACATATTGAGGATAGAGGTCACCAAGATAGCAGCCGCTGGAGATCTTCCATTTGTTATGCTGATGGAGACCGAGCCAGCAACACCAGTGGCACCAGCTAGCTAGTCTGAGGAGCCAGACCTAGCTACCGACATTGCTGAGGCAGTGCGACAGATGTTCGCCAACCCAGCTACTCTCCGAGCCGAGGATGATGAGATCTAGTTAGAGGAGGCTGAGGGCGGTGATGCTTCTATGGACACAGAGATGTCCAAGGCCACATAGGGAGTCCTCTTTACTCTTACCCTTCCTTATTCTGATTTTGTTAAGCACTGGGGACAATGCTTATTTTTATTCGGGGTGGGGTGGGGGGGAGGTGTAGAGTTTATTTGATATTTGGATGATTTGACATTTGGTTTGTAATAATTGATAAAATTTTCCTTTTTCTTTTTATTATGTATATATTATTCTCTCTCTCTATTGATGTATATATTTTCTCTTTTCCTCTCTCATCATGTATATTCATTTATGCCTTCAGTAGCTTGCTTTGTAGCTTATTTATTTTGTTTTCTTATTAGTTAATGTTTAATACAATATCTTGTTGTTTAATTTAATAGCTTCTTTTTAATATAGTAGCTTCTTTTTATGTTTAAATGGACAATAAGCCTTTGGTTTTCTTAATGCCACGGTTCTTTCCAAAGGTAGTTTTTGTATGAACCGGGTGACTCTTTCCAACAATGGATGGCGTGACAACTTTCTTAAGGGATTGAGTCCGTTTTTGGTGTCTAAGTAAGAACAGTAGTAATAATGAATAAAAAGACCTAATTGAGTCAGACTCGAAGAGTAAAACTTGCTTCACTTTGTACCAACACACTTAACTACGAGCTTATGATTAAAAACAAGTTCTTTGAAAGAAATAGCTTTAGTTAGTGACTTTCTGACTCTTGTGTTGACTTAAGCAATCATCGAGTGGTTTAGTCGAACCATTAGTTATTTTCAATCTTGAATATGGTTGTTGTGGGACCTTGACTCTATCCTCTTTAACAATCCAGATGTGTGAGAGGTGAGATATTTTTGTTGCAAGTCCAAATACCCGGGTGAATGGTCTAGAACTTTCCCCCGAATGTGTTTCTAGGCAAAATTTAAGTTTTCCTTGTCTTGAGAAGTGATTGTAGGCTCTCCTTGGACCGCTTGAAATTTTCCATGTCCTACCAATGTTGTTACCCCTAGTCAACCCATTTGACCCTAAAACCTTTCTCATTTGATAACCATGTTACAATCCTTTACCCATTTTGTAGTGACCCTCTCTTGGCACCCGAGCTTTCCTTAACACTCTTGAGATACAATTGACTAAAACATAAGTTTGAGGGAGAGACGAGGAGTTTGAAAAAGGTATCAAGGCACAAAAATAGAAAAAAATAAAGAAAAGGGAAGGCAAGAAAAAGAAAGAAAGAACAGAAAGAAAAATGCAAAAAGAAAGTGAATAAGTTGAAGAGTTGAAGGGATTCCAAGAAATAGTAATGATGCAAAGCATGGAGAAAGAAAATAGGGAGAAAATGAATATCATGACCAAAAAAGATTGATGCTAAGTCTCTGTAGTTCCCCTAAAGAAAAGAAAATGCCTCAAAGAGTTGGCAAAACATGAGCCAATAAGAGAAAATGGAGTGCTTAAGGAAAGATGAACCCGTTCTAGTACAACATATCTAACCTTAGTCCAAAAGTCTTCATTGCATTCCAAAAAAACCCTACATGATTTCAAGCCAAGTGAGCTTACATTAGTGGCGATCTACATGAGGGGCAAGCCTGTGGTACTTAGAGCCGTGTTTGCGACATTCTTTTGAGAGAGATGAGCGAACCTTTCACAAACCTTTGAATTGAGTGCTACAAGATATGCTAATGGAGAGTAGAGGAGGAGGAGTTTGGAATCCATAATGACCTACATGAAAGAGAGAGCCTCTTTGATGAATAAAGTCAACTCTTGATGCTCAAGTGTAACATTAGAACTATTTGTGCTTAAAATTTCAAATCATTGCCTTGTTGATAATACATAAGTGTTGTGGGTAATTGTTGGTCCCAATTGATGCATCTTTTATTAGCTGGAATAGCTCTAACTTGTGGAGGTGGAAATTACCTTATTTTCTTGAGGACAAGCAAAAACGTAAGTTTGGGGGAGTTGATAAATGGAGATTTTGACTACTTGTTAGCGCCTTTTAACTTTCGTTTTAGTCCAAAAGTATTTAATTGTGTTCCCAAAAATTGATGAAATATGCTTAATTGTAGGACTATTGGAAAATGCACCACTAAGATGAAATCCAACTCAAGAAGGAGTGATCTAAACTCAAGGATGAAAATAGGCACAGAAGCTCAAAGTGCAGACCACAGATTATGATTTGCGGCTGCAGATTGTGAATTAATTTCTATTAGAGACAAGTGCAAAGTGCGGTCGCAGAAGCTAGGAAAGAGCAAAAGTTCAGAGAGTTTGCATATCAAGTTCAAAGTGCGGACCGCACAATTATTGTGCGGCCGCAGAAGATCAACTATGCGGCCACATTTGAATTTGCGTGGTCCGCAGAAGAGCTATGTACGCCCGCACTCAGAAATGTGTGGACCACAGGAAGAGAGAGATGCGGCCGCAATTCAGAATTGTGTGGCCGCAAGATTGAAATCCTATCAAGCTGAAGCAACGTGCGGACCACACATGGAAATGTGCGGCTGTAGAACCTTCGAAAGGGCATTTTTGTCTGAAAATTCTAGCTTTGTATAAATAGAAGAGTTTCACCTTTTTAGGTCAAGTTGTGATATATGTAGCCACAGTAGACATTTTTCTTTACCCTTTTTAGTAGGTTTTGCTATTTTGAGCTTTTTGAACATAGATTTTATTATTTTTGTCACGACCCAAACCGATGGACCGCGACGAGCACCCAGTACCTTACTCAATCGAGTACCAAAATAATATATCTTTCTTATTATATCATTATAGGTAAGTGGGCCAGAAAGGGCGTCATGAGATAAATAGAGTAAACATGAGGGAATACCTGACATAGAACGACCCAACGTGATATAGAAACTCATACCTGTGACATACGGGCCTATAAGGCCAATGTGATCCATTATATACTTAAAATATACGCCGACAATGCCATATAATCTTTCATGTACATGACATATGTATACAAGCCTCTAAGAGTACATAAACATCATAAGGCCAGGATAGGGCCTCAACGTATGATGTTGGGCATATTTCTGTATGTTTTGATGTTACTTTACCCATGTTTTAACTGCTTTTTGTTGCTATTTGGTGTTTAAAATTCCCAAAATGGTTTAACTATTGGTTTTATGACTAATTGAGTTATATGTGATGATTTAGGATGTTTGGAGAGCAAAATTATAAAGAAAAGATGCTCTAACTAGAGGAGAAGAGGGTGGATGCGTCGCATCCAACCTTGAAAAAAAGGTTACTTGGTGCACCCTTAGCAGTGAAGTTGGCCCATAGCATCCCCATAGCATCCGCACCTAGGCAAATCTGAGATGGAGAAACAAAGGGTGGATGCGGAACATCCACCCTAGCATGCGAAGCTGAGAAGCGGAGGACGAGGTGTATGCGAAACATCTACCCCAGCATCAATCCCTAAAGCTGAGTCGGACTAGGAATAGGAGAACTTTGGTCCACGACTTTGTACGCAATATATAAGCCAAAAACACCTCTTTTAGGTCATCTAACATATTGGGAAGCAAGAAAAAGCCACGACAAAGCTTGGGAATCATAAAATTCGTCTTGAGTTCTTACTTTTTCCTTTTTTATTGATTTTTATGTATTATTGGGAATTACTTGAAATTGTCACTATGAGCATGCGTGTCTAAGAACCCTATTGTTCTAGGGTCATGGGTGAAACATGAATGTTGATGTTTGAAGTTTAATTTGACGAAGTTGATTTCATCATATTGGGTTGTTTATTTAATTCTGTTTTTAATTATTTTGCTGAGTAGCTAATAGTGAAATACTATCTTCGAATCTAGAGTTGAACTCGAAAGTGAGAATTCTAGATTGCATATAGAATTAAATAGAGCAAGTTCTTGAACCCGGGCATCAGGGAACATATTCGCAATTCGGATAGAAATATACCTAATTGTCTTGCTTTGTTGAAATATAGGAAGTATAAATGCATTTTTGTTAATCTTAATTCCATAGACATATAGGCATTAAGTTATCTTGAATAGGCGAGTAAGAATTCAACAGATTCTTATGAGTAATATCAACCCTGTCAATCAACAATCCAGATAAATCAATTCGTCATTTTAATCCAAGAACACAACATGATTGTTAGCTAACTCGTGACCCTGGAATATCCTCTCCTACTGATGGTTATTCGAAATTGCTATTTGTTTCGGTTGATTTCTAGTTAATTCATTGCTCGATAGTTTTAGGTAGTAAATTAGTCACTTCTATATTTTGTGAGAAATCTCTTGAATTGATAAGTTAATCGAGGTTGAATCAGTCAATAGTTAATCACAAGTCTTCGTGGGGACGATACTCTACTCACTACTTTATTACTTGACGATCGCGTACACTTGCGTGAGTGTTTTTGGCCGCAACAAGTTTTTGGCGTCGTTGTCGGGGACTTAGAAATTAGCTACTTGACTGAATTGAGTTTTTATTAGTTATTTATTCAAGTTTTAATTTTTAGTTTACCTTGTTGGTGTTAACGCAGTCTATTCTCTTGAATGCAGAGGAGTAAAAGCGCAAACAATCTCCTTCCTCTTGATCCTGAAATTGAACAAACACTTCACATTATGAGGAGGGAAGTTGAAACTAGATCTAAAATAGAAAGAGATTTGGACATCGTAGTTCAACCACAACCAATCGAGATGGCAGGTAATGAAGAGCGTACGGTGATTGAAGCCACAAAGCCCAATCTAGCTAATATGACTCAGGCTATTGTGAAGCCTGTGATCATAGGGAATTTTGAAATCAAACAGTACATGGTACAGTTGATTCAGTCCACAGGGCAATATGTGGGTCTATCTCATGAAGATCCGCAGAGGCACATTCAAAATTTCTTGGAAATTACGGATACCTACAATTATCTGTACATTTCCAAAGACTATGTCAGGCTAACACTATTTCCCTTTTCACTGATGGTGGAAGCTAAGGAATGGTTGCAAAAGGAGCCCGCGAACTCAATCTACACCTGGGATGATCTAACAAGGAAATTCTTAATAAATATTTTCCCCACTAAGAAGACAAAGTCATTGAGGAGTCAGATTCTTGGGTTTCGAACAACGGGATGGCGAGACACTTCGTCAAGCTTGGGAAAGATACAAGAAGCTACTCAGAGACTGCCTGCATCATTGTCAAACTGATGAGGTATTGGGTTACACTTTTGTTGATGGGCTAGATGATGCATCAAAGATGAATCTTGATTCAGCTTGTGGAGGTAGTTGCATGGCGAAATCGTATAGCAAAATCCAACTCTTGCTAAATAACTTCACTACTAATGATCATAATTGGCAAGGAGATGAGGATTCATGAAGGGCAATTAAACAGAAAGCAGCTGGATTGATTGAGCTTAATGACTTCTCAGCCATGAGAGTCGATATAGCAAAATTGGCAAATCAGATGAATAGAATGACAATGCAACAAACACAACAGATGCAACATGTACAACAAATGTCTATTTGCTACGAACTATGTAGTGACAGTCATATGAGTGACATGTGCCCTACGAATCCTGAATCCATATACTATGTGGGACAACAGAGTAGAGGTCTAATAAATCAGCATGCACAATATGGTAACACTTACAATCCAAATTGGAAGAATCATCCCAACTTATGGGGTGGAAATCAGCCAAATCGGAATTATTATAGACCTTAAGGAAATTACAATCAACCTCAGAAGCCACCCTAACAAATGGAAGAGAGTAAGAATGACTTGCTAAAGAAGTTGTTGCTTGACAATCAACATCTCAAAATTGATTTCAGAAATCTTGAGGGGCAAATGGGGCACTTAGCAACAAATCAAAATACTAGAAGTGCAGACGCTCTCCCCAATGATACAGAGAAGAACACTCAAGTTAATGCAGTTACACTCAGAAACGGGTGGAAACTAGAGGAAGTGCCAAAGAAGCGAAAAGACAAGCCTATACCTGATTGGGAGTTGATTCCTAAAGCAACACATGAGTCAAAGAAAGATGATGCAACTTCAGAGCCAATGGAGGATGCAAGGCCACCGCCACCTTTCCCCCAGAGATTGCAGAAAAAGAATGATGATCGCATGTTCAACAAATTTCTCTCTATGTTGAGCTAGGTTCAATTGAATATTCAATTGGTGGATTTACTTCTTGAGATTCCAAAGTATGCTAAGTACATAAAAGATATAGTGGCTCACAAGAAGAGATTGACTGAATTCGAGACAGTTGCACTTCCTGAGGAGTGCACTTCAAGGGTCTAAAACAAGCTTCCTCAAAAGCTTAAGGATCCTAGCAGCTTCACCATCCCTGTGCAAATTGGCAATATTGATATTGGTCGTGCACTTTGTGATTTGGGGCCTAGCATAAATCTGATGCCCTTATCCTTGTTCAAGCAATTGGGGCTGGGAGCTCCAAGACCAACTACTACGGTGTTGCAGCTAGCTGATAGGTCCATAGCACACCCTGAGGGAGTGATTGAAGACATGTTGCTGCAAATTGGGAAGTTCATATTCCCTACGGACTTCATTATCCTAGATTATGAGGCTGATGAACTGGTTCTAATCATATTGGGACAACCTCTTTTAGCTACTGGTAATGCAATTATTAAAGCGAGAGAGGGAAAAATGTTTTTGAGGGTGGATGACGAGGAAGTAGTCTTTAATGTCTACAAAGCAATCCAGCTTCCTCGCCACTATGAGGAGCTCTCGATGATATCTGTTGTGGAGGTGGATGAGCAACTTCTTGACACGAGTGTATATTTAGACGATTCTCTAGAGAAAGCACTTATGTTGTTCGATAGCTTGGAGATTGATGATGAGGTTGAGGAGATGATGCATATCCTAGATGCATCCTGTGCTTACGTACTGGGGGTACACCCATTGGAGCCCCTGAATAGGCTAAGCGGGCCCCCTCCAAAACCGTCAATTGAGGAAGCTCCAAAATTGGAGCTTAAACCCCTACCCCTTACCTTCAATATGCTTATTTGGGAGGTTCTGACACTTTACCTGTTATTGTTTCTTCTGACTTGTCTAAATTATAGGAAGAAAAGCTGTTGAGAGTGATACGTGAGTACAAGTGAGCAATTGTGTGGACGATGTCTGACATTAGATGCATTAGTCCAGCTTTCTGCATGCATAAAATACTCATGGAGGACAAACACAAGCCAAGTGTAGAGCAACAACGCCGACTAAATCCAATCATGAAAGAGGTGGTAAGAAAAGAGGCTAGATGCAGGTATTGTATTTCCAATCTATGATAGCGAATGGGTAAGCCCCGTACAATGTGTACCTAAGAAAGGGGGGATGCCTGTAGTGGTTAATGAAAATAATGACTTGATTCCCACAAGAACTGTCACCGAGTGGAGAATTTGCATAGATTATAGAAAATTGAAAAATGCCACTCGAAAGGACCACTTCCCCCTCCCCTTTATTGACCAAATGCTTGATAGATTAGCAGGCCAGGAATACTACTGTTTCTTAGATGGTTATTTGGGGTATAATCAGATTGCTATAGCCCTAGAGGACCAAGAGAAAACCACATTTACGTGTCGCTATGGCACATATGCATTCAAAAGAATGCCCTTTGGTCTCTGTAATGCACATGCAACTTTTCAAAGGTGTATGATGACTATATTTACTGAAATGGTTGAAAGATTTGTGGAAGTGTTCATGGATGATTTTTCAGTGTTTGGATGTTCTTTTGATGATTGTTTAATGAACCTTGCTAAAGTGTTTGCTAGGTGTGAAGAGATGAACCAGGTACTAAATTAGGAAAAATGCCATTTCATGGTATGTGAAGGTATAGTTTTGGGGCACAAGGTGTCCAAAAATGGTTTGCAGGTGGACAAAGCAAAGGTGGAAGCGATTGAAAGATTGTCCCCACCGACATTTGTCAAAGGCATTCACAGTTTCTTGGGCCATACAGGTTTTTATCATTGTTTCATTAAAGATTTTTTGAAAATCCCTTCTCCTTTGTGCTGGCTTCTTGAGAAAGATGTCCCCTTCAAGTTTGATGATGCCTGTCTGAAAGCATTTGAGGAGCTGAAGGGAAGGTTGGTGACTGCACCAATTATCATTGCTCCGGATTGGGAGCATCCATTTGAGTTGATGTGCGATGCAAGTGACATAGGAATCAGAGCCGTTTTGGGGAAAAGGATAAATAAGATCTTTCACTCCATTTACTATGCGAGCAAAACTCTGAATCCAACCCAGATGAACTACACATTTACTGAAAAAGAGTTACTTGCAGTGGTATGGGCGTTTGACAAGTTCAGATCCTATATAATGGGAACCAAAGTCATCGTCTACATAGATCATTCAGCTATCAGATACTTGTTTGAAAAGAAAGACGCTAAGCTAAGGGTAATTCATTGGGTCCTCCTCCTAAAAGAGTTTGACATAGAGATCCGAGATCGAAAAGGAACAGAGAATCAAGTGGCTGATCACTTATCCAGATTAGAAAATCGGAGCCACGTAGTTGAAGGAGATTCAATCAAAGAAACATTTCCTTATGAACAGTTATTAGCAATCACCTCAAGTGAAGCCCCATGGTATGCAGATTATATGAACTTTATTGCAAGTGGAGTGACACCACCACATTTTACACCTGATAATAGAAGAAGATTTCTACATGATGTGAGGTTCTAAATGTGGGATGAGCCATTCCTATATAATCAGTGTATAGATCAGTTGGTACGAAGGTGTGTTCCTGAGGAGGAGATGAACGCAATATTACATGACTATCATGACTCTCCATATGGAAGTCATCACAGTGGGGATAGAACCACCCAAAAGGTGCTACAATCAGGTTTTTATTGGCCAAAATTGTTTAAGGATGCACATGCCTTTGTTAAAAAGTGTGACAGATGCCAAAAAACCGGAACGATCACGAAGAAGCATGAGATGCCTTTGCAGAATATACTAGCAGTAGAGCTTTTTGATGTTTGGGGATTAATTTCATGGGTCCGTTCCCATACTCTAATGGTCATAGGTACATCTTGGTGGCGGTCGACTATGTGTCTAAGTGGGTGGAGGCCATTGTTCTTCCTACTAATAACGCAAATGTAGTGGTAAGCTTTGTAAAGAAGCACATCTTCACACGCTTTGGGACTCCAAGATTGTTGATAAGTGACGGAGGAACTCACTTCTGTAATAAATTGCTGAATAATGTTCTTGCAAAGTATGGAGTTAAACATAAATTTTCCACTGCCTATCACCCCCAGATGAGTGGTCAAGTGGAAGTTTCAAATAGAGAGGTAAAGAAGATTCTAGAGAAAACAGTAAGTAGAAATAGAAAGGACTGGGCCGGGAAGCTGGATGACGCATTATGGGCATATCACACTGCATACAAGACCCACATAGGTACTTCTGCATACCGATTGGTTTATGGGAAGGTGTGCCACTTGCCTGTTGAGCTTGAGCACAAAGCCTATTGGGTGATTAAAAAGCTAAATATGGAGATGGACTTAGCCGGTAAGAAGAGGTTGCTACAACTCAACGAGATTGATGAGTTCCGGTTGCACTCGTATGAAAACGCCAAATTGTATAAAGAAAAGACCAAGAGATGGAATGATAAGCATATCCAACATCGCGAGTTTGAGCCAGGTCAAGAAGTTCTCTTGTTTAATTCAAGTCTAAAGCTTTTTCCCGGAAAGCTTAAATCTCGATGGTCAGGTCCTTTTGAAGTGGTTAGTGTGAAACCTCATGGAGCGGTGGAATTGCGTGATACAATTTCCAATGCGACATTCTTGGTAAATGGGCAGAGAGTAAAACATTATTGGGGTGGTGACATGGCACGTCACAAGACCTCGAAAGACTTGGCTGAGGCGTGAAGAACGTGTTGCGTCATGCCACGACGTTAAATCAGATGCTTCTTGGGAGGCAACCCAAGTATTTTCTTTGGTTTTTGTAGTTTGTTCATTTTTCCCATTTACTTTGTATTTCAGATTTTTTGTTGTTCTTTCTAGGAGTTCCTTGATTTGTTTAATTTTCGTAGGAATTAGTTTGTGTATGTAATTATTAGACGAAAAAAGAAGCTCTAGGTATGGAAAAATAAGGTGGATGCGTCGCATCCCCCTCAGCATGACAAATAGACAGACGAACTGCACAAGGCAGTGAAGTGAGCCTTTCGCGTCCATAGCCACGTCCAAACAGAACCCTCTACAAAAATAAGTGGATGCATCGCATTCGTTGCTGCAAGCCCAGGTAAGTGATATTAAATCACTTTAATCTCCCCAACCCGTTTCTGCTCAACTCCAAAACAAAAGAACAAAACAAAAAAGTTTCTTCACTGCTGCTACCCAACGTGCTCAAGAATCTTCTCTTTTCTTCTCTTTCCTAACTCTCCTCTCTTCTCTCTCTCGCTGGTAGCAACAGATTCCCTGCCCCAAATTCCCCTAGGTTAAGTTTCACTAATTTGAATATCACACGTGATTAAGAGGGGAACTGAGAAAAAAATTGAAGCTTGGGGCTGTCGTTCCTGCCAGTTGTAATGGTGGCGAGATGATAAGCTAGAATTCCCTTCATCTCGTTAATTTTGGGAGGGTAATTGAATTGCCCAATTGCTAGAACAAACTAGACAAAACTATTGCATACCACACGTTCGACGAATTGCCTGTGAGGTAAATTTAGGCACCGACGAAGTCTGAGTAATCGAGCGACACAAGTATATGCTAGTGAATAAGTCTGGGGTCATTTGTTTGATTGTGTACAGCCTTGTCGGCATGTTTTGAGCCTATGATAGATTGTCCAATAAACTGAACATCAGGCCCATGCTAGACTCATTGAATTGTAACGTGTCACTCAATTTGAATTCTGTGCGCTCTATGCTTACTGATATGTCGTGAGAATAAGTGTGGGGTCAAGTGAGTTGGTATGTGTAATTGAACATGGTTAGTGAGCGCCACTCAGATGAACCTCCTGTTATGCATAATGATATCTATAAAGTGCAATGCTCATTTGTGAATTTGAAGGGAAGTATCAGTTAATTGATCCATACTGAAAGCCATGGGCTATATTCATGAACCACTGAATGGCATGACATGCGATTGATTGGAAGTGCACGCTTTTGCTCAACTGCTCTATATCTGAAACTTCACTGTTTCTGCACACTAATTGTTGACTTCTTTGCGTTGCAGGTACTTAGTTTCATAAATGGCAACAAAAAGCAAAACGTCCAAGCAACAAGAAAGAGATAATAACAAGAAACCACCCAAGAAGCCTACTGGAAAGGCAACAGGTTCTCCAAATATATAGAACAAAAGGAAGCGAACTGAGAAAGTGAAGCAAGTGCCGACTAGGCATTTAATTGATGAATCAGAGCATGAATAAAAGGAACAATTATTAAGGAGGACGATGAAGAGGGGTACTACAACAACATCATCAAATCCGCCAAGCAAGGGGATAGAAATCAGAGAACCTGTGCCGCACCAAAGCCAATCCTCTAAGCAGAGTGACCCGAAAGATAAAGGGAAATAGGAGGCTATTGCAAAATCTGAATCCGAGTCTGATCGGATGATGAGCTCCCACATGTCAAAATGAGTGATGAAGATGGAGGCGAACCGATAGACCGAGCTGCCTGGGAGGAGAAATTTGTTAGTGAAAAGGCATTCCGAGCTTATGATAAGATCTTGGGTTCAAAGAAGTATATTCCAGAAAAGCCAATCAACATTGGAGCACTTAAGAAAAAATATTTTCTGAAATCCATTCGAGAGGTGCAACAATGGGGACCTATCTTGAAGGGCCACAACAAGGCCAACCTTACTATCGTCAAAGAGCTTTACGCCAATTGGCATCACTCATGGGGTAGCATTGTGAGAGTACAAGGGGTGGATATTAATGTCTTAGCTGAAGCTCTGAACAATTTCTTAGGGGTTCCACATACAATAACGGACAGGTTTGACTGTATGTGTAAAGCACCTGATTATTCACATATTAAGTCTGTTCTATGCCCCACCAGGAAAGATGCAGATTGGAAGCATGGGAGTGTGGAGTACCATTCTCTGGCCAAAGAATTCATGAGCACATTCGCACGTGCGGTTCTCAATTTCCTATGAAACCTCTTGATTCCATGCCAACAGAA